TATGTGGAGTACAGTATGACCTCATTATTAGTGTCGGTGTCTGTATTGGCATTCACTGTATGGTAAGTATGAGTGTCTTTGCGGACAACTCTGTGGCCATCGGGAAGTGTTATCACATGAAGACATTGATCTCAAACTCACTCCACCTTAAATAATTGTTAGTTTATTTGCAATACTATAAGACTTATGGTATAAGTAATGCTTGTTATTCAATATGAAGTCAAAAAACTTTTTTTTGCACACAAAACAAGTTTATAAACGCTTATTAAAACTGAATTAAACTTTTTTAATTGTATTGAAACGAGCGTTAAAATTGATTTTTATGCTAACAAATGGCGTGAAAATTGCGTACAAACAGTGGATATAATAGTAATGAATGGACTTTTATGATGGAAAGAGAGGGAATCTATTTGATGGTCGGGTCGTAAAGTCGTGCGAATGCTTTGACTCTAATCGGAGGCCAAAATAATTTGTTGAGAAATACACCGGAGATATAGAAAATGATTAAAACGATTCCGCAAACGACGGCAAACATAATCCGTTGACTCCAATAGAGTTTAGCGAGAAATGGATAAATCCATAGATCGACAAAAGTGCCCATAAATAGCAACAGAAGGAAATAGAGTACATATAGTGTGAGGAGGACAAGGATGGCGTGACCGTGTTGTGGCTCCCGATGGTAGGACACTATCAACTCGACTACATTCATCGGGCCGTTCACTGTGTGCTAAATATATGGGCGATTAGTTTTGGTTAGTTATTTGGGAGATTGTGTTCATCAGTGATTGAAGACATACAGTGATGTGATTATACCAATTGGGGTACCGGTTGTTGGCGTTGGGATCCCTAACAGATTTCTCGTCTATAAAGTTCAACAACCAAAAGGCTATGCAAACGAACTGAAAGTGCATTGAGTTTTAATCAATTGATTGTGAATTATATGCTATTTTCTGAATGAATGTCAAACCATTGAGAAGGGAAGGCAAACGCAATGGAAGAATGAGTCCAGAAATTGTGTATAACTTTTGCTATCATTGCGATCGATGAGCAAATCGCCGACAAAACTCAATGAATTGAAAACAAATTGAAAGAGCTATGCATAGGATTCATATAAATTAGTGGTATTTTAGACAAATGTTAGGCAAAATTCAATACCAGATTCCAATACGTCTGAAACAAAAGTTAACAAAAAAAGTTAGCTATAATTTAAAACAGAATTCAATGTTTTATAAATATGTTTATTAACCAAATATTTAAAGTCTCCGACATATGTAGATCGAGGATCGCTGCGATCGTTTGTCACCATTTGGTAGANGCAAAATTCAATACCAGATTCCAATACGTCTGAAACAAAAGTTAACAAAAAAAGTTAGCTATAATTTAAAACAGAATTCAATGTTTTATAAATATGTTTATTAACCAAATATTTAAAGTCTCCGACATATGTAGATCGAGGATCGCTGCGATCGTTTGTCACCATTTGGTAGAATATTGTAAATCCATAGACAATACACCCAAAAGCATGAGTTCCCACCGAACAGACCCTCCATATGAATNTTAAAGTCTCCGACATATGTAGATCGAGGATCGCTGCGATCGTTTGTCACCATTTGGTAGAATATTGTAAATCCATAGACAATACACCCAAAAGCATGAGTTCCCACCGAACAGACCCTCCATATGAATAAAATTAAATTCATGTCTGGTTTGTGTTTGTGTTTGAATTTTTGTTATCACTTTTGTATTTAATATTTAAATTTTCGGTTAGTTTTTTCATATCGCGAGATTTCGATCTTTGTTAATTTAATTATTACGTTTTTGTTTATTGTATATATGTTTAAGATATGCACATTATTTGGATTCAATTTTATAATGTAATATTTATATTAATACGATAATTAGTACTTATTAAGTACACTTTATAACATATTCCGAACGTTACATATTGTACAACGTTGAAATGTTGCTTTACTTTAAAGTATTAATTTAGATTTAAATGTTATTATAATTGCGAAATGTAACATTTCATGTAAAGTTACATGAAATCACTTTAGATTGTGAAATCACTAAATGCTGAATCAAAATAATTAGAAAGCATTCAAAACTGTAGTTCAAATAAACGTTGGTTAATTTGAAATCTAAACCAAAGTACTTATTTAAACAAAAACTATGTAGAATTGTATTGAAAATTATTCATATTTCTTACACGAAACCAACGACTGAATCAATACATATTTATAATATACTATATATAATGTAAAACAATTTATAGGAACAGAATATTAATGTCTTATATCACAGACTATTTTTGCATTTATTTCGCATTTTATTTTTTCAAATAAATTTGTAAAATGAATTACTATTTAAAACATTCTAATACTTTATATTATTTAAATTTATTATTAGCTATATTTGTAGTGATATTGTATTTAAGTCCCAATTGTTTTGGGAATTTTTTGGACGAAAATAACGACAACCGATTGTACGGAACTAAAGGAAATGTCATAAAGAATCTAGAATTTGATGCAATAAGTGGTAAACTTGAGGACCAAAAATGCTTTCAATTTCTTAGATTTTTTAGACGAAGACGTCGTCGAAGAACTACTACAAGTCCGACAAATTCATTATTATTTAAAATATACAGTATTTATAATTAATGAATTGATTATTTATATTAAAACAGCCACCACTACAACCACCACAACTACCACGACGGCCGCACCAGGGCGAAAATAACCATTTCAAGTAGTTTTATTTGAACTATACTTGGTAATTTTACATTCAATATTGCTCAACTTATACCGATTATTAATTGAGAAATGTAAATTTTCCTGCAGTTTGGGATATCTCTAATTAGAGTCAAAGCGATTACAAAATGCAAAACTTTACTACAAATAAACCATTTATTGTTTTGAAAACTAGAACAAAATTCTTATTTAAACAAAAACTATAATTAAGAGAAATAATTAATTGAGAAGTGATTGAGAATTAATTGTATTTCTTAATGATTGTAAAAACAACTACTGAATAAATACATATTTACAATATATAATGTGAAATAATTTATATAAACTTAATATTAATGTCTTGTTCACAAAAAATTGTCGGATTTATTTTGCACTATAATTGACAATTTTCTGATATGAATCGTTGTTTGAACATATATTTTATTAATTTATTATTGAGTATATTTATAGTAGTATTGTTTTTGAATGACAATTGTTTGGGGAATTTTTTGGACGAGAATAACGACAATCGATTGTACGGAACGAAAGGAAATGTCATAAAGAATCTAGAATTTGATGCAATGAGTGGTAAACTTGAGGACCAAAAGTGCTTTTTCTTTATCCGCCGCTTTAGACGACGTCGAAGAAGAACCACAACCACAACAAGTTTGCAAATAATTGCTTATTATTTTAATACAACTTTATTTAATGAATTGTTAAATTGTTTTAAACAGCGACAACTGTGGCCCCGGCCGGTGCCGCCCGTAGAGGATAACAGTGATTAAGAAAATAGTACTTGTTATATTTGATTTCACGTTATGTTTTTTATTATAGCTAAAATTTTATAAATATAAAATCATATAAAGTTATTGAAAATTTAATGTAATGTTACAATTTATTTATTTATAATTGTATAATTATTAAGCAAATAGTATTCATTAAATAAATAGCAGTAAAATACACTTTAAATACTTTTCAGATTCTTTGAGTTTTATTTGCGATAAGGAAATCACAGTTTTAACATATTGTTGGTTAAAATTATATTTTAAATTGTTATAATTAGTTTTTAATTACAGTATATTCTACTTCAATTAAGCCACAGTATAATTATTTAGTAATTATTATAATCGAGTCCTTAATTATAAAAGCAATCTCTAATGCAGTTGTGATGTTTCTAAATATTGAATTTAAAGCAATTATACAAAATTGTAAAGAATTTAAAACAAATAAATTATTTATTAATTTGAAAATTTAAAATAAAGTTCTTATTTAAACAAAAACTATGTAGAAGTTTACAAAATTAATTATATTTCTTAATGATGGTACGAATACAATCACTGAATCAATACATAATTACATATATCGGTCCGTCAGTGGACACGACATCACTGAAGACATCTCAGCAACAAATGAATAGCGAGTCGAGAGAATCGCATCAAAATGTAATGACAAATAGCGAACAGTCTTTCAGTACAAGCGATACGATCGACACTAATATCGTGTCGTCCACTGAAGCGAATGGTAAGCAACGGATCAAATCGGTTGACACAGATTTGGACGACTTTGACTTCTTCGACGGCGACTCAAGCAATCAAATGAATTCAAACGATGCCATCGATTGCGAGGAAGAAGACGACGAATTGATGCGCGAAATCAATCAAGTGATCAACAGCTGATGAAATCGCTTTCTCTCTCCCAAACACACATCACATTCAATAGCTTTTCCACTATTTTTAGTTAATTATATACCAGAAGTCAAACACATTTTGATGTAATGTTTTATTGCAAACCATTTCTGATGTCTATTTGTTTTGCTTTTGTTGCAATTCTTAAACTAATTATTATTACTAATTATTTTTGGTGTCTCTTATGGCCTGAGCTTTAGTTTTAATTCGTTGTTTATTTCGATTGTATTTAATTAATTCATTTAAAGTATTTCATTGATTGTAACGATAATATACTTTTCAAATTCTACATTCAATTACTTGTTATTAACGAATTATAGCTAATTTCTTACAAAACATTACTGAAAAGTTGTTAAATAAATGCTTTAAGATTTGTATACTGTATATATAATGTGACAAATATTATACGTTGTTTTTACTTTAAATTAGTTGTTGTTTGAATTGAAATTAAACAAAACATCACAATTGAAACCGGATTTCGATTTCGCACCACTTTTTCAGACAGAGTTTATAACTCATAGTAATATACAAACCATTGTTTGCAAACGAAAACTATGTTTTGAAATAAAAACTATATTTATAAATAAAAGTGAATTATTTTTATTAATTATTATTATTTGCAAATTTTATTTCCAATTAAATTATATTTAATATTAAAATAACATTATATATGAATTCAATTGAATTCCATGGGATTAATCGTTTTTATATTCATTCAAACAAAACTTCTCACAATTCTTTGTGTCAAATAATAATAAATAAATTCTTTAAGTTATAAAATACAAAATAGTTTTAAGCATTAAAACTAAATTATTCTAAAATACATTGTAATCATAATTGAGAATTGAATCAATGAAACAAATTATCGCAACTAATTGTGAAAAAGCACTTTTTTTAGCTAAATTACAATTAATATGTATTTTTAAATAACAATTTAAAAGATTACAATATATTGAAATGATTTTTTTTGTTTTGATAATAAGTTTCAATAAATATAATCAATCGATAGATTTGTTGAGCTTTTGAATGAGAGACCAGTAATTAATTGAAAACAAATTGTTTTATAAGACAACTAAAGGTAAGAACCGTTTTTAGTTTGAGTTAAGCCGAAGATAAAACACTACATTTAACTGCCATTTACTTGTATATCATATCCAACAACATATCATATTTACTGCCAATTAATTTCATATCATATAAAAGTGGGAGAAATAGCGAGAAAAAGGGAGATATAATGTATTTTCTTATAAATTTAAATGAGATTTTCTCCAAATAATAGTTGTTTTGATAACATTTAAATATCACATTTAAATATAATTATGTTTTTATGTATCGAAAACGACATATTATTAAATACAACGGTAGTAAAGATCATACACTTCGAGACATACTTTTGTTTTTCATATCAATTTCAGTACATATTTTAGAAAACATTTTTGTTTTAATTTAATCATACAATATATTAATTTTCATTATATCCGTTACTTTAGATCAATTTTTATGCTCAAAATGTTTTGTCAAACTCTTGGCATTTAATCAAATTATTATGCAATGCTTTTCACGAGTAAATTGAGAAAAATATTTATCATTTTTCATACAATAAAAGAATTGTTTTTGTTTTTTTTAATGTTTAGATTATTATCTGAAAAATAACGATATAGTTAATTGTAATTCAATTTTTATCAATTGATTAGATATCGAGAATTAGACAATCAGTGTATTAATAGAAAAAATTGATCCAAATTTAGCACACATTTGACACACAAAACATATTATTTCACAGAAACGATAAAAACAAGTGATTTGTTAACAATTTTTTTATCCATAACTTGTGCACAATCTATGACAATGAAAGTTACGATACTTTCAAATAATTAATTGTATATATTTTACAAAAACAAATAAATGATTTTAAAAATGATTTTTTCAAATGATTTCTTATAATGAGAGAGAAATAATGATTAAATTAAATCATTTAACAAAACATTGAATGAGAGAATTGTAAGACAATTGTAAAATGTAAGACATAATTGTCGAGAAAAACTTTTGGTAAAAATTGTGGCATAACTTATGTGGCATTTGATAAATAATTGTTACAAATTAATCACAAAATGACAATAATTTTGTTGAAATATGTTTTTTGAAGATTCATTAGAGTATTGATATCGTAATGATTCCCATTTGGCGTATAAATAGTGGATTAGAGTCAGAGCTAAACAATATATTGAAAGTATACTCAAAATATATATAATTAAATCAATTAATTTGAATCCCTGTAAAAAAGGGATCGGTGTATATGTTTAGGTCTGACTACATATCCGGTGATAATTTAAATTATAGTATAAATACACAGCAGTATTGTTCGTCCGTTCAATAAATAGCTCATTAATTAATTCAATTGTTTTGTGTGTTTTTTGTTATATAGTTTGAGGGATGAGTTTGTCATACAATGAGTTTTGAGATGAATGTGAAGTAACTAATAGTTGCGCTCTTTTTTAGTAATTATTACTATTATTTCTATTAATTATACAATTTATGAACAAAATTCAGTTTCCATTTCTCTCTTTTGTTTCAATTGTAATTAATATTATATATAATTTGTTTCTCTTTATACAAAAATCTGCGATATTATGCAAAAAAGTGTTGACATTTGTTAATAATGTATTGATATATGTATTATATAATAGTAAGCAGTGTTTGGCAGGAATTGTATTCACGCATACAATGAGACAAACTGTCGGATCCGCTAATCTTTACTGTCATTCAAATTTATAATTGAATACTTCTTCACATCATTTTGTGTTTAGTTTTTAGTATAATTTGTTCCGTTATTTCATTAAAAACAACTAAAAATCTCAATTGTTTTTAAGAGAGAGACACTCGCTATATGTATATAGAAATTGTTAGTTTCTGTCGTCAAATCAATTAAATAGTAAATCCAACCAAAGATATAGTGAAGAAGTAGTGAAAAAAGACTAAACCATAAGTTAGAGCTACCGTTACTTATCGCCCACTCGAGAGATAGCACAGCAGAGAACGCACGCGAATATCAGTGCAAACACTTGAACGCCAATCAGTATTCCTCCGGTGATCAAAATCCACTGCCATTTCTCTTTGATGAATGTCTCAAACTTGTCGACACATCCCGTTTGATGAATGGACCGCAGGTTCTGAATCTCTGAGGGGGTGATCGGCACGCGTTCGGTGTCGCGCTCGCAGTCACGGCTCGTGGGATCCAAACAACAGGAATGTGGTATTCGTATTGGTGTCAACGCAGTGGACGCGCCGATCCCTCTCTCGGCCGCGTGACTCTTGTTCTCCTTATTATAGCTGGCGTTCAGCCAATCGGCCGGTCCTGAAGAGCCGCAACAGTCGAAGTCGCGTTGGATGCGGTCCACAAGCATTTCGGTGGCGTTCGTATTGCCCGACCCGTAGTTCACTAGTATTAACTTCTGGGTGTCTCTCGCGATCTTATCGCGAACTGTGCTCTCGTTATGTATGGCCCAGAATAGTGAGGCCCCACACGCGACACACATCGTCACACAGAATAGGAAATACTGCAAAATGCAAACAAATATAATTCAATCACTTTTACATTCAAACTCAATAATATAGTCGGTAAACAATTTTGGCTATAAGTGTCTCCAAAACAAGTGTATATAACTTATATAATGTACTGAAATATATACCCGTATTATAGTATTCAATATAATTTATGTCTCGCATGCAATCAAACGCAACAATTCTGTGCTCAATAGGTAGGGATGAGAGAGATATAACTGTAAGAGTATATACTCTATACTTGTAATACATGTTTATTATTATATTTACTGTTATTAATACTCATAAACCTTTATTCTGAAGAATTGTATTGTATTTATAGGCATTAATTATAATTAAATGTATGAAATGTAAACACAACTAATTTATTAAACTAATCAAATAAATGTAAACTAATTGCGATATTCATTGATATTAATAGCTATATTCAAAATAATCGTGTTAAATAAATATTGCAGCCAAATTCAAAAAGGTTATTGTTTATTCTATATAGATTTCTATATAAGCAGCAAACAACAGCTAGGTCTATTGTGATGCTATTTATAGAGTTTAAAATTAGGCGCCAATATTCTAACAATATCTAACATCTCACTGATAGACAATTGGGTTATGTATATTGAAGTTAATTAATTTGAAAGGTTATTTTAATTATAGAAAATGCACACAAATAAGACATTTTAATCAAAAAGACATTAATTTTAATTATCGTTTCAATTGTGACAAAATAAAGTCAACATTTAATTAAAGTTTTGACGCTTTCTCTCAGTTAAACTACAAATGCAATCAATACTGACGAGGGGTTTGAATTGGTTGTGGGGGTCGGGTATCAGTGTTTAGCTAATTGTATTTCAACGATATTGTGCGCGACTATTGTCCATATATTATGCGATATAAGTATACGTACGGTTCCGAGAAGACATGAGGACTCTCTGACGGCACCACAACAGCCAAGAAAGCCCACGATTGTCATCACACCCCCCAGTATTAGCAGCACAATGAATGGCGTCACATAATACTGGCCCACTTCGTTCAGATCGAGGTAATTCTGTGAGTCCCACCAGAGGTACGCCGACAGACCCAGTATTACCACTCCCAGCAACTGTGAGAAACAAACACATCAGCCGTTAATATAACCATTACATGCATTCATATTCATTATATTCATTAATATTCGTGTAAAACAATGCATTCATTTAGCCATTGATTGGATACATATTGTGATTCAATTGGGGAAACCTTGAAATTCTAGGTAAAAGCCAATACAATGTGTGTTGTATTAGTCATACAGATATGATTATGGTGATGCTATTCTGGTAATACTGCACACAACTACTGGTGGGGTGCATAAAATTAACAGGTTCGAGCCAAATGGCAATCTAGCTATATCTACATACACCTTGCGCCAATCATATTTGTGGTGCAATATTAATGATTCGTGAATAGGTATGAGAAATATTAATGAGAAAATCAATGTTAATGAATATATGGATACATGAATACAATGTATTGACTGAATGGCAGATACAGTGTATGTGTTGTGGGAAATGATGTAAATATTGTAATCCATTGAATACATACCCAAAACAAGAAGTTATAGAAAACAACGATATATTTAATACAGGAGAGCATTATATTCACCACACAATCACTACTTCTTCCCAATGTATGGCAAAATGTGGTACAAAAAAGTCAGGAGTGAGAGAAATGATACCAAAATGAGTGATAATTAGTGTCTCTATCACTGAATGTTGTGATGCTATCGCTGTATATGCTATGACTGGCTGTAGGACTGGCTGTGTGTATGTGTTTGTGTTGTTTCACTCATTCAGTCCAACAAATTCTCTGCTCAGATGTGAAGAGCATTACTGAGACTCTGGAGTTCACTATTGAGATGAAGGCCTTTGACTCGCACTGGCATTCACTGGCAGTCAGTGCTCACCACTAATACCAATGCTATTCTATGAGGGCTTCGACTCAAACACTCGCTCTCATAGAGACTGCTCTCGTATTCATAACCAGAGAAACACTGTTAGAGTGATAGCAGTGCTGAGCCGTCAGTTACGGCCGATGGGGAGGGGATGTGAGAGCACAGCCGAGAGAGCTATTGCCACAGACATCAGAGAGGGATGGGAGAGGGATGAGGGAGTGATGGGTGAGAGAGCTCTGCAACCAGAACTGGTTTCCGGTGTTATCACTAAGAAAACTGCCAAAAATAACGTGTATTCCGACACCACTTATGTAATAGTGATACTGATATTACGGATGAATTGACTCAACGATTCCTACTATTCATCTCATCTTTGCATTCATTAGTTGTTTTCAATAATGATTTTTTCATATATTGTTGAGATTCTGTGCCATCAATAGAGCGCAACATTCACTCGTCAATTGAGTTATCAATTAATACTTGTGTTTAACTGTAAACACATTCTGTTCTCATTTCATGCAAACCTCTCCTTAGAAAACACGATATACTAATAAATTATCGCAAAGTATTTTCTCTTTACAATTTTGGGCATTTATTCATTAAACGATTTAAATAATGATTTCACATAATAGCGATTCATTTCAGTTATTTTTCACACGTTTTAAAAAATTTCACAACTTTTGCTAATATTGCTAAACATTTGTTAATACAGTATATTTTTTGGATAAAAAATAAGTTTTAACCAAATTCTTCATCGCATGGTTTGTTATCACTAATTAGTAATATAATTAGTGTACTTATTCAAATTATATGCTAAATGATTTTATCATTTACTATGCAAATTACTCTCTCTCGAGAGATAGCACAGCAGAGAACGCACGCGAATATCAGTGCAAACACTTGAACGCCAATCAGTATTCCTCCGGTGATC